ACTGGCCAACTGCGGCCTCGGGTCCACCACGATCCGCTGGCTGGGGATTGGCTCCGTGGTCGGACCCAGAGGGTGGTGGTTGATGGAAGTCAATTGTTGTTGTGTCCTGTGACCAGTGGGGTCCCTTCAAGGCTCTGTCCTTGGATCTATTTTGTTCAACATTTTTGTTAACAATGTAGACATTGGTATCAGAAGCAGACTGGTCAAGTTCACCGATGATACCAAACTTTGGGGCAAAGCATCCACACCTGAGGACAGGAGGGCAATCCAAACCAACTTTGACAGACTCAGGAAGTGGGTGGACGAGAACCTGATTGTGTTTAACACCAAAAAAATGCAAGGTTCTCCACCTTGGGAGGAAAAACCTGCAGCATTCTTATAGGCTCAGTAGTGCTACGCTGACTAGCACTATGGAAGAAAGGGACTTGGGGGTCATGACTGACCACAAGATGAACATGACCCTTCAATGTGATGTTGCTAGTAAAAGCAAGCAGAATGCTGGTTTGCGTCCATAGATGCTTCGCAAGCAAATCCCAGGATGTCATTCTCCCAATGTACTCAGCCTTGGTGAGGCCACAGCTGGAGTACTGTGTCGTTTTGGGCTCCACAATTCAAAAAGGATGTGGAGAAGCCCGAGAGAGTCCAGAGAAGAGCCACGCACATGATCAGAGGTCAGGGAAGCAGACCATACGACGAGAGGCTGAGAGCTATGGGACTCTTCAGCCAGTGCTTCTCCAGGCTGAGGGGTGATCTGATGGCCGCCTATAAGTTTATCAGGGGTGTTCACCAGGATCTGGGGGAACATTTGCTCACCAGAGCACCCCAAGGGATGACAAGGTTGAACAGTTATAAACTCCTCCAAGACCGTTTCAGGCTGGACATAAGGAAGAATTTCTTTACTGTCCGAGCCCCCAAGGTCTGGAACAGCCTGCCACCGGAGGTGGTTCAAGCACCTACATTGAACGCCTTCAAGAGAAATTTGGATGCTTATCTTGCAGGGATCCTATGACCCCAGCTGACTTCCTGCCCATGGGGCAGGGGGCTGGACTCAATTTTCTGAGGTCCCTTCCAGCCCCAATGTCTATGAAATCTATGAAAGTTGTGGGGTACATGGATGGCAATTGCAGCGTTCCTGCTCATGTAGCGAGCACAGGAGAGAACAGTCCAAGACAGACCTCCGACAGTACTGGGAGAGGCTAATTTCTAAAGAACTTGCAAGAAAGGTGCAAGAATCAGAGCTCTGCTATTTAATTGCAAGCAGACCTCTGCCATAACCTTTCCTTGGGTCCTACCTCAAGGATCCCAGCACATCTGCCATGTTGAAACCTTCAAGGATCTCCTGAAGCTGCTCACAGCCCTCTTCTCCCAGACAGTTACCTAGGATATGAGAAAAGGAGGAAAGCCAATTTAAAATGCACACAAAAAAAATATCACCAGCATTCAATGAAGTTCCCACATGTGATCTATTTCTCTAATTAAGATAACAGCTGCTTGGTTTCTATAACACCTTTATAACAAAACACCTTATAGACAGCCCATAAGGCAGACTTGTCTGCAACTGAAATGCAACAGGTGTTTATGCATTGGTGTGAGATGGGAAGAATACTTCTGAATTCAAGTTGCAAGGGAAATTTGAAAGATAAGGATTTAAATTGGCTAGAACAGATTTGGGTAATGAAAACTGGATTCCTTTTTAATAGTTTTTACAGTGGATGATGCTGGACGAATAGATTCATAGATGTTAGGGTCGGAAGGGACCTCAATAGATCAGAGTCCGACCCCCTGCATAGGCAGGAAAGACTGCTGGGTCTAGATGACCCCAGCTAGATGGTTATCTAACCTCCTCTTGAAGACCCCCAGGGTAGGGGAGAGCACCACCTCCCTTGGAAGCCCATTCCAGACCTTGGCCACTCGAACTGTGAAGAAGTTCCTCCTAATGTCCAATCTAAATCTGCTAGCTTGTGGCCATTATTTCTTGTAACCCCCAGGGGTGCCTTGGTGAATAAATACTCACCAATTCCCTTCTGTGCCCCCGTGATGAACTTATAGGCAGCCACAAGGTCGCCTCTCAACCTTCTCTTGCGGAGGCTGAAAAGGTCCAGTTTCTCTAGTCTCTCGTCGTAGGGCTTGGTCTGTAGGCCCTTAACCAGACGAGTGGCCCTTCTCTGGACCTTCTCCAGGTTATTCGCATCCCTCTTGAATTGCGGCGCCCAGAATTGCACGCAGTACTCCAACTGCGGTCTGACCAGCGCCCGATAGAGGGGAAGTATCACCTCCTTGGACCTATTCGTCATGCATCTGCTGATGCACGATAAAGTGCCATTGGCTTTTCTGATGGCTTCGTCACACTGCTGACTCATGTTCATCTTAGAGTCCACTAAGACTCCAAGATCCCTTTCCACTTCTTTGCCACCCAGCAGGTCATTCCCTAGGCTGTAGGTGTGCTGGACATTTTTCCTCCCTAGGTGCAGCACTTTGCATTTCTCCTTGTTGAACTGCATTCTGTTGTTTTCTGCCCACTGGTCTAACCTGTCTAGGTCTTGCATCTGATGGATGCAATCAGGTGATATAATTTAAATAAAATTTACTGTCTGTACAAAGGCAGTAGACCTTAGCTCCTGAGAGGAAAAAAATCACTTTACTATTTTTATGAACATTTCAAACATACTTCAAAAGTAAATTATAACTGGGTTAGCTAAAAAGGCTGTAGAGCAGGATGATTCTTCTAGTTGTTGCTCAAATGCTACATACTTTTTTTACAGACTTTCCTGAAGGAACGCTTTGACAATGAAGAAATTAAACCAGATTTATGGATGTCCTTGGAAGGTGGAAATGCTTGTACTGAATGTGGAATTCTAGCAGAGGATACAGCTCTGTATTTTGGAGGCACTACAGTAAGACAAGCTGTCACACAAGACCTGGATCTGAGGGGTGCCAAGTATGTCATGTTACCAGCTAGAATTTGACATAGCTGATGTGTTCTAACAGAGGGCTTCATTAATAATAATAATAATAGAGATCAGATTGGTAACAAACATATAAATAAACAGTAACAGATAAGGCAGCTTATGGGAATGATGATACTGAACTTTTCACTTCTAAGCGACAGTTCAGAGTCATCTCTGGTAGACAATGACAAATGGTTCTTATTTTTACCATCAACTGGAATTTTTTCACTGACATTTGTGAAATGAGTCATTATTTATTTTTGCGGAGTATCTTGCTGCTTTGTAGGTATATGATAAGAAAAGGTCCTTACTCAAAAGAGTTTAGAACTTATAGACAAAGTTTAAGAGCAGTGCAGTGCTGGTGACAACTGTGTTACAACCTCAACTTCACAACTGACACCAGCCGGTACTCTGGCTGCCAGTCTCAGCAAAGAGGTGAAGAACTAAGTGGGCATGAGGGAAAAAATGTGTATGTGCCTGTGCTGTGCCCATTCTATATATTGACAGTATTTGAGAGGGTCACAGCAGCACATCTCACAAACACCCAAAAGGTTTTCAAAAAATAAGTAAACAAAAGTATTTACTTAAAAAATGCCAATTGTGTTTATTTATGTTCGGCTATAGGAGAATTGGATTTAACCAAGTATCATGTGAGTTCTGGGTAGGGCATGCACTACATTGAAGAAACAGCTATTAAAAAAACCCCTAGAGACTTCTTCCTTAGCATGAGAGTGGTGTAGACAGGAGCTAATTTGAGTATATCATACAGATTTTTCTAAGTGAAGCTGAAGCATTAACATTTAAAAAATGGCCAAGGGAATTTCCTCTTACGGCCTCTCTTCACTGAAGGCCATGGGGAAAGAAAAGCATGAGATTTGCCAGACTGTTAAAGGAACAAGTCTCTGTGGTAATTTGTAACAAAATGCCATGTCCTGCCAACATTTACAGACGTGAATGGCTTTTCTCGGGTAAGTAACTCCACTGAAATGAGGGAACATATGGAAAATAATGTGCTTAAAGTGACTACAGAATTGGGCCTTAAAATGTTCCTGTGGCTTTTTCTTTCCCTTTAAAAATCTGTATTTCCCATCTGTATATTTATTGCAACAAAATAGAATTGCCCAGTGATGAGACAGCTGTGAAATACAACCTTTTATTCACTCGTATAAAAGATTGTATCACATTTGTTTAATATACATAAACTAGATATATCAAATACACAACTTTTGCATACTTATAAGGCCAGATCTTCAACCACTGTAAGTAGCATACTTCCATTAGAACCCTGATGCCAATTTATATCAGCTAAGAATATAGCCTATAAAATACAGAAGGAGACAAAGCATACTAATATTATTGTTTTCCTCACCCTCCTGCTTTAAAGTGTCACTAATTCTGCTGAATTACATGCAGAATTTGTTTTAGTATGTAGCTCATCTTTCCCTTTTTATGTTTTACTGGTCTGTGTCTCCCAGCAGATGTCTGGGTAGTTTAGGTCCCCCATGACTACCGCCTCTTTAGCTTTTATGGTCTCTGAGAGTTGTCTCAGGAGCCCCGCATCTATTTCTTCCCCTTGATGTGGGGGTCTGTAGCAGACCCCTACCACCAAATCCCTTTCTCCTTGCCCCCCATGTAGCCTAACCCACAATCCTTCGACTTCCTCATCCTTGGATTCCATCTTGATGAGGGTTGACCAATTAAACTATGTTGCACAATACCGCCGAAATGCAGCTGCAGACAGTAGCCCAGCACTGCACAGTGAGCAGGAAGCTTTGGCCACGACAGTGAAAGCAAACCTCTAAGCATTACAAGTAGTGTATGTGAATATCAGAACAACCTATAAAAGCAGACAGGACTGTACCTTACAGTCTCATCCTTAAAACTCGCATGATACTCAAATTTAGTCCCAACACCTTCTGAGCTAGATAAGCAGACTAACAGGTACTGAAGCTGTGACTCAAGAGGTTTAAGCTCATTAAAGCCCTGACTCAAGAAAGAACTATTTGCTTATTCAGCTGAGTAACTTCATGAGGTCCTTTAGCTACAGAGGCACTGGTATTTTAGATCAGGACTCTCCTTTAGAAAGGCGGGGG